TTGATAAAATCCATCAATAAAGTTTAAAATTAATAAAACAAACACAATAAAGACTATTTACAGTAAGAAGTAAAAAAATTTAAAATGAAAACGAGCGTGACACACTTCTGACACAATCACTTGTGATGCACGTTAGTCTATTAATAAATGCATGTGAACTATTCGTAAGCGTTTAGCAATGTTCGATTTTCTGCAGTGCTCTAAAGAGAAGTGAATGTATGTAAAATAATTTTGGAATGCTGTAAATGCAAGGATGACATAAATAGGCCATATATGCATTACCGTCACATATGCTAAAATTTGAGTTAGAGATAATCAAGGCTGTATTTATGAATAGGCTACACAAGCTTAGGGCCCCCACTTTCTGTGCAGCCCCCTCCCAAATTAAAATGTAGTATTAAAATATATTATAACAGAACTTATAAAGGGCTCCATATCTCAAATAGCTTGGGTCCTTATAAAGTCTAAATCTGGCTCTGGCAGATAATACAACGATATATGTTGTTATGTTTCTTTTTCTTAGATTTGTCCCCTCCTAGATATATTGATGGTATTTAGAAGTATGTAAATAATGTGCAGTACAAAGTCTGAAATCCGGACTCGTCAGGACTTTGCGATTCCGGATTTGGGATTTTTCCGAATATTAGACCATCAGTTTAAATCTAGTAAGATGGCATGTAGAAATTATAAAATTAATTATATGAAATTGTGATTTAAAATAAGAGTAGTATATCAAATGGTATCAAAATTTACAAAAAGTTTAATATTATTTGTTACCTTATAACATTCCTCAATATTGCTCAGTGATTCGTTTTTGGTTATACTTCTTTTGAATTGTGTAGACAACATATCTCTTGTTATTACAGTTGGAGTCCGTAACTGCTGTGTCAAGAATTCCGACTAACTTGTCATTCGAAAGTTTTTCATTTTCATTTTCTTCACTATCACCATCAATATTTCACTTCGCCATCACATTCTTCACTATCGGCAGCGGTATTTTCTGGATTTAGAACCATAATACAGATTTTGCCATTCATTCATTGATTGATTGATGATTGAGAAGCATTGCTATCACAATGAAAAACTTCTTTTGTAAGATCTTCATTGATTACCACTTCATATTTCTTTTCAAAATCCGTAAATTGGAAAATTCCAGCTTTGTTTTGCGATATCCAAAAACCTTTAAAATTTGCAGCTATCATCATCAAATTTAGCTATCATTCACTATACAGTCAAAAGTCGTTAATTCGGACACCCATAATCCGGAATGAGCTGTAATCCGGACCTCAAAGCTACAAACTTTCTGCGCGTGCGTCACGTTGACGCGTGCGCGTAAGACCTTTACAGCTGCAAATATGCGTGTGTGCATAATATGTTTACGCATGTGCGTTTAATGTATAAAGGACAGTATAAGCTAAGCTAAAATTATCTAATTCAGTTAATGTTGCAGATTGCGTTGTTCCTTAATCTTCAAATGGATCCCGCTATTATTTGTGCAGACTGTTAGGCAATTTAAAAAGCTGAACTTTCAATGATGCCAATAGAATTTCCGATATTTTTCTATTGTAAGGAATCTACAGCGAGTATGTTGAAGTCATTTAAAAAAAAAAAGGCATATCCTTCGTTCCTACCATTCCGAAATGTTATCAATTTCCGCTGCCTGCGGCGGAGGGGGGGGAAACGCCGCAGTGCATCAGCATATCCTTATCTTCAGGTCATAGTTTTTATTTTATTTGGCCTATAATTCCTTACTAAATGTAGTATTCATCTCGATGTACTCCATCTTTGATATGATTTAAAAATTCCTCGTCATTATAATTCGCTTCGATAGTGAAGAAAGTGGCACAGAGGTTATTGAAAACGAAAAATTTCGATGACAAATTAGTCGCTTTCTGACACAGCAGTTATAGACTTGAACAGCAGAACTTGTAACTGAAAAAGATGTCGTTTATAGAATTAAAGAGAAAGTATACACATAAAACGAAGCAACTTCAACAACTTACATGAAAGAAATTTTAATAAAGTAAGCAATAAATTAAGCTTTTTTTTGTAATTTTGATAATTTTTAGATCATAATTGTTCTTTATATAAATTAGGTTCATATTTTAATTGAATTTCTGCGCCATCTTACCAGATTAAACTGATATCCAAAAACCTTTAAAATTAGTGGCTATCATCACCAAATTTAGCTATCCTTTACTATACCTATTTGGCTATGCATCATGAGCTTGGCGACAATGACAAGTTGTTCCATTAAATTTTATCTTATGTCTATCGTGCACAGTGACAATTAAGCCTAAATAGTATTAGTTATTTATTATACTTACGTCTATTTCTTGCATATGCTTCTTGAGGCTTATGAGTTTTGAATAAATTCCCACATATACTTAAGACTTATTGAGGGCCAGTGCTAGATATCTTACCACTTGATGCAGTCTCTGAGGGTACTAAATTCTCGGGCCGGTGCAGCCATACGAGCTCTGGCGCTACTTCTGGGTTTATATGAATAAAAAAATCAGTTATTTTTAATTCAAATAGCCTTAAATGCAATCTTTGTGTCTATGCGTATCATCAACAAAATCTATTTTTAGAATATGGAAAGAAATTTTTGGTAAATTTTTCTTCGTCAACGTTGTTTAGCGCATTTAACTTAAATCTGTAATCATCACCAAGCGTAATGTCAACATAAAAGGTTACCATACTCCTTTATTATTCAATTACATAAAAAAATTGTTTAGGCATCGCTACATGCAAGTTGTCATGTTTTGCTAAACATGCACTGATAAAAGGAAAGTATAATAAATAATGATTTGCCAGGTTGTTATCAGATCAATGATGTATCTACGTGGAATGTTTTGGTTTGAAATGTATGCCAAAGCAGATATGCAGCAACAGAGCCAAATTATTGATCAACCAGATTTATGCTAAAATGATTGTTTCTTCAATAACAAAGAATTTTATTTAGTGTCAAAGTGAAATTAAGAATCGGTACTCTCCACAGTTTTTATTATGCACAGAGGGGGGGGAATTAAATGTGCATGCGTAAAGCCTACGAGAAAAAACGTTAGTGGTGGTTTTGAGGTCTGTATTTTAGAACATTTCGGATAATGGACGTCCGGATTTCGGACTTTGTACTGTATAAATAAAATGTGGAGATGTATGTGTTTATGTATGCATGCACATATGTATCTGTGTGTGTATACACATATATATGCATGTACAATACATACATATGTGCATACATACATACACTTCTGAATTCCAGCCTTGGTAACAGAAGAGTACCGAATAAAGGCTAATCAAAATGATTGGGATAAATTTAGTCCTAAATTTTCTTCTGTCATTTAAGTTTCATATTGTACTGCTTTCAATATTTTACAAATCTGTATTTCACCATTTATGTCAAACTACTTCGTTTGAAGATTAATCGTAATTTCTTTTAGAGGTGTGTTTCATTTCTAAACTACATTTGACATCGCAAAAAAGCAGTTCCTTAAAGTTTTCTTAAGAGTGAGAAAAGTTTGTATTCTTAATTTGTAAAGGTCATGTAATTTATTGATTGTAATGAATGTGCTTTGGTAATTTGTTTCATTAGATCATGCAACAAAAAAAATTAGGCTCAGTTGTAATTTTTTTCTTTCTTTATTCTTTTCCCATATAGGAGTATTATTGTTTCATGATAGGAAGGATATGGATTTGAGTGATATTTTTAGTCCTAACACACTGTGCCGTGAACGCCAGTTCACATCTGATCCGGGGAATCTAGATTTACCTGCTCCTCATATTTTTCTGGATGACACTAGTATTGGGGATGCTCATTTTGATCTCCCTTGTTCACCAGGAGATCCTGTTTTTAATGAAAGTGAGGTAAATAATCATATTATAACTTCTGGTAGTTAAAATATTTGTCATCATTTTTGCAGTTTTTAAGTAATTAAATTTATATTGCATTAAAATTATTGTTGTCTGCATATCTTTTTTTAAAATGCAAAAATTTAGACTCATGAATATTTAAGTCTATTGTTTTGAATAATTTCCTGTAGATTAATAGTTTATTAAATTTTGAATTAAAAAATGTTTTAAATTATATTAAGTTTTTTTGCAAGTCCATAATACACATTTTATGGTTTGCTAATGTAAAAATTTAGTTTGGCATAAAAAATTATAATTTTTTTTGTAAAGTAACCACTTTATTTATTAATTTGTGCTTTTTTTAATGAATTAATATATGAAGTGCATGAAAATTGAAATTTTTTTTTAATGTATCAAAAAACTGGAAATTTCAGATGGAGTAAAATATCTTTAAAAGAATTGATATGTTGTTTTAAAGCTGCAGAAATGTAGAACTAAGTCTAAATAAAATTCTGCTATCCTTTTTATTTTTCTTTTCTGCATGTAAATTTTATTAATATCTGCTCTGTTATGTTGATCGATATGTCTTTAATTCAGTTAATTGGATATGGTAGAATTTGCAGTTCTTAAGATTTTACTGTTTTGATTTAAATTGTTTTGTTTTTGTTTAATAAAGATAAATTTATATTATTACCTCTTCAAATGCAAAAACAACTGTAAATTTTCACAGGTAGTAAATTTCAAGCTAGCCTACACACCCAACATTGAATGGTCACAATATTAGTAATTCCTAATATTTTATAATAGAAATTCAAGTTTTTGATGTTAATTGCTGAATAGATCAATTAGGTAGTTGTTTGTTAAAAATAATTTGATATTATTGCACTCAGAGTCTTTTGAGTCATATTTGTTCTATTGTAAAGGGCATACAATTTAGTAGTTTGCCTCTTATTGATCACTGCAGGGCCATACAAGAGACTTGAGAGCTCCAGGACAACATATGATAGTGGGACCTCCTGCCTTTATTGTTTCTTCTAACTTTAACCACTCTTTCTTTCTGGATTTTGCTGATTATTTTCTTAATAATTAAAATAGCTTTATACACTTTAATTGAATGAAAATTTTTTTAATAATTTTTCGTTTATTTTGGTTTTTGTTTCATTGATGCATCCTGTTATATGTTATTTTTCATTCCTGTTTAATCTTGCTAAAAGAATATGATATTTGAAGCTATGTAATGCCACACAGAGCATAATGTGAAACATAAACAATGTATTTTAAGTAAAATGTTTACTAGCAAATTATTCAGTGTACTTTATTTTTACACTTGGATTACAAAAATCTTTGTTTTCTAATTGTTAAGGAAGCAAACTTGTTAATTATTTTATAAAGGTCTGTTTTTTGGGATGTATTATTCTTAGTTGAGAGTGAAGCTAAAATAGTGACCATTTCCTGTCTCACACTGCTTCACAAATGGTTTTTTATTATTATTATTAATTTTAGTTTAGAGAATAATCGTTCAGTCTTGCATACAATTTCATGATGTATGCACAGCATGCATCATGAAAACTCAAAAATGAACTTTATTATCAACAATTTTGCTAATCTTCTGATGCTATTAATTTTTCCAAGCTCCTGTTTAAATGACAGGATAGCAGCTCTGCTTTAAATGACACTATTCACAAAAGCAGATTCGACCGGTAGCAAAAACCGTTTCTTCCAACAAGTCCTATTCACATGACGAACAAGCATTAACTGCTTCTCGGAATTGGAAGTAGAACTTAGTAGAATGTTCCTACCTCTCTGAAGCAGGGCAAATGGGGAGATTTCCCATACTGCAATGTGCAGTTTACTTAATTTTAGAAAACAACATGGCTGACTTGCAACTGACTGCTGCTGACTTGTGAGCGAAACAATCGCGTTAATAGATATTTGGGAATGCGATGTCATCCAAAAAAATTAGATGGAACAGTATGAAATATGGAAATTTGTTAACAAGTACAGACAAGGTTATCTGATGCTAGATATTCAAGAAATACCTTTCAAATTAAAACTAAAGACGTGCATATCGGCTTCAACGCATCAAGGAGACTCTATACCTTTTGAATGATTTTTTTTTATTTAAGAACTTTCATGTATTTTTATGAGTATTATTAAATTTTTTTATAAGGCAAAATGATTTTAAGCTGAAAAAAATATTTGCCAGTATTTATTCTTTTTAAATTTAAATTTTGGGAAGAAAAGTTTAACAATTAAAGTATCTTTCTGCTCCTACAATTTTCAATGTTTTTCCCCAAAATTTTCGTATTGTATTTATTAGGATGTTCTTAATAACTTTAAGGATTAATTTTGAGATTAATGAATTAGTTTCTGAGAAAAAGTAAAAACACATTTTTATATAAAAACTTTGAAACAAATATGATCTCAATCACAGTTTCACTTCAAATAATTTTCTTTTTCCAAACCCATCCTTGTTTTTGTAAAGTCTATAATTTTAAATAAGCGGTAAAAATATTAAGTGAAAGTATTTATGGAAAAAAAAAATGCAAACTGAGAAAACGCAGTTTAACGAATGTAAATTGTCTAAATGGTCATTAAATCATTTCAAATTCCTTAAAAATTGTATTACGGAATTTCAATACATAAATATATATATACATATACAAAATAAAACCTAGTGCTATTCAGTTGGTTAATATAAACATAAATTACAAGCTTTTCTCTAAAATCTTTGTAAAACATGTTCACATGAATTAATTATAATATATTTTCTAAAACATTTATAATCAATATTAAAACATTTATGATTAATATTAATAATATTAATTTGTCATTTTATTCATTTTTTCAAAACGCAAAGTTTGAAATTTTAACAGCCACAAAACATTTTATTTAAAATTGTTCAGCAGCATACATGATTTCTTTTCTTCTCTGAACTAACTGATCTTGTACATATATTGCATTTTAAATTTATTTAGGTGTATTTTAATTAATTAGAGCTAAACTTCAATGGCATTCTATAGCAATAGTTAAGCTGATTTTTCATTTTCGGACTTGAGTATTTTACTGCAGCATGTGGGCAAACGTTAGAAATCTGCCAATCCAATTCACATTTGTGACATCCTTGCTTGTAGTGGCTTACAGGTTAAGGGATGGAAATAGAAGTGCTGCTGACATATCTTATGGAACTTTTATATAAGATAAACTGCTTAATCAAGGATCTTTATTTGCTTTGATAAAAAATTTGGGTTGAATTACTTGATAAGTATCAAATATATTGTAATGATGATGAAGCTGGATGCATAAAATATCTATCAGTGGATAAAACAAAGTGGCCCTAAAGTAAAATGCTTGATATTTTAATTTCAGATTTTGTGTAATTCATCACAATGCAATTTGAACTGTTTGTGAAGCAGTGTAATTTCTGAAGTAGGTTCAGCAAGAGAAAAACTTTCTGAACATACTTCTTCTCCAAGGCTAAAAGATCTGTGAGGAGATAGACATTGGAGATTGTACGTTCTTCAAATTTTCTTCACATTTTAGTTATTTTAAGCAAAGCTCTGTCCTTTCATTTATATGGTAACAGGTCTACAGTTTCAGGTTGCTGATAATAGATGTGCGGTTTTTAAACAGTGTTTAGGAAATTTAAAATCTCGCATTGTGTAACTAAGAGTAGAACAAAGTCGAATGTGTCCAGTTTTTCCCCTTTGGTTTTATCACTTTATTCCATTCCTTGCTTTTTGGGCAATCCAAATTATGTGTTGGCACATTTCATCACCTCACTCAACTTATGCTATTAAAGCACATCCACTCTGTTACATTGTTTTCAGTTTTTCTCAGAGGAAAATACTATGACTAAAATAGCAATATACATTTTGGACTGTTTGAAAAACTGGTAAATTTTCATGTTTCCTTCAGTAGTAGGTTTTAAAAAAAATTTAGATTATGGGCCACTCAATGTACAAAGTAAGCATGTGGGAGTTTTTCTATCATACATTGTCTCACTCCATTGCATACCCTCACTCAAAACAGCTACATCATCATATCCTTCCCTATGACATTTTGTTCAATCCAAACCTTTCTCAAGTAGTGTTTTCATAACTTCAAGGTCCTTTAATGAATTATTTCCTTCTAAAAAATTCATAAATTTTTATTTCATCAGTTTTTTTTTCCTTTTTCATAGTTTAGTATTTTCACATATTTGTTAAGTTTGCTAAGTGTTAAAGTATTAAAGTACACTTTTTAATCAAATTAAAATTTATTTTATTTGTCAGAATAGAGGCAGCTGAAACTTTAATTGTGAAAGGAAAAAGTAACTACTACTTTCTTCAGAAAATATAAATATCTGAGTTTGGTATAAGTATGAATAATTTTTTTTTCTTAGATTTTTTTTAAATGCAAATCATTTTATAATTTACTCTTTTTAGTTGTCAGCTGATGATGATGATTTAAACATAGATATTGTTGACATGTCTTTACCTTCCCGAGCTGCTGAACAGGCTGAGCATTTAGTTCGAAAAGTATTGGAAGAAGCTGAGCAAGCAGAACATCTAGTGAGAAAAGTCTGGGAAGAAGCTTGGAAAGTAAGAGGATTCTATGTTGTAAAGTTTGTTACAGAAGATGCATTTAAATAATGACCAGTTCGTATATGCAGTAAAAGTATGCATTTAACATGTAACAGAAATAATAAAACTAGCTATTATCAATTACAATTATAAAACTGAGTTGAGAAACAGTTAATACAATACCTAATAAGCATGAATGATAACCTTGATACTTTGCATGAAAGCAATGTTTAGCCTGCCTTTCCATATATATTTACAATTCATCATTTTGTCATAACATTGTGAACATTGTGCAATAACATTGCCATAACATTTAACTCCAGTGAACTAGTTCAAGTGTAGAAATCCTACTGCTAGATCTTCATTCAATTTGTGATTATTTGTGCATTGTGATAAAAATCATAAAATAATCTTCTAAGTATGCATTTTAAACTTTTTATTATATAAGTTATTTTTGTAAATCATCTGCTTATTTGAAAGTTAAATCTATTCCATTTATTTTGGAATAAAATAGCTAAAAGCTTCATTACGTGCATGGATAACAAGCATCATTCATGTTATTTTCTTTATCCCCATAACCCTTAATTTCATTTTTTAGAACCTGTCAAAATTAATATTCTGATCAGAGTTTTTAAAAATTTCACTGGAATTCCTTTTATTCCTCTTTCTTTATTTATTGGTGTGAGAAAATTTAGTTCAGCATCCTTTGTGTGGAACCAAAAGTGCCCACTGCCCAAAAATATACAAAGATCAATTTGTGCAAAATTTTGTATTATTGTTAAATTTTTGCCTTCACTATTTACAATAGCTGATTGTAGGTGCACAAGAAATAAATTTCTTTGAGCGATATATTGCAGTACTTCTATAACTGTGACTGCGCATCTGAAATGAAACTGTGTTTGTGCTTCAGTGTATATATAAGTAGCAGTTATTTATGTGTATTTATAAGGACTTCCACTGATAGTTTTGGAAACAATTTCATGAAATTATCTGTTTTGAGTAGTTCCATAATTTGCTGTACATGTCTAGGTTTGCTTTTTCAGGAGCCCTGTTGGCATATATTTTGGACACCCTTATATACTTTTGTACTCAAGTTACAAAGTACTAAAAAGTAACTTGATTGGGTTAGATTATTTTCATTATGATAAAGCACTCACATACTATCTTACCTGTTTAAAAAAGCTATGTTTCTTGAAGATTTTGTAAAGGAGACAGCCTTTTGGTAACTGCAGCCAGTTACAATTCAGGTATTAATCACAATGCAGACTTCCAGTATTCTCTGGTTTCTTTAGACATAGGGCCCCTAACCAGTGGGAAATAACACAGCTTTGTCTTAAGCTCTTTCATTAAATAAAATAGAAGGCAATGGATTTGCAGATGTATTGATAACATGGTAATGATTCTCTAAGGGAATGGAACAAAGGCACTAACTATTGACACTAATTAATGAAATAATGGAGCAAAATGTGTGGAATGAAGTGCTGATACAAAAATAAACTGCAATCAGAGTTCATTTAAAGTATTAAATATCTAAGCAACTATGCTTGATGATTTGTAGTCTGGAGAGTTAAATGTGAATAATATCTATCCGGGATCATAAGGTAGTTTATGTGCTTAGTAGTAGTAAACAGTGTATGTAGTAAACAGCGTATGTGTCCATAATGTGTGAATTCCTTGTACCTGTTTGCTCTATGCAGTGTGAGACCCAGATGATTGCTGTCACAATATACCTGAAGCTGGCCATTTCATAGACTGTAGAGTTTAGAGTAATTGCAAGGTACTTGACAGTAGCCAGATCACTTCATAAAGTGATCCATTGACTGATAATGTTCTGTTAATGGTGGGTAAATCTACTGGACTTGGAAGCAATAGGGTAGCTGTTCTCTTTACTAGTGAATCATACTTTGTTGCCTGAAATGATTCTCGACACGCCTATATACAGTAAAAATCTGATTTGAATTGCCATCTATTGTGTGCCAGAGAGCATGATGGATCTTGCATGGTGTTGGCTAGCATAATGTTAAATGGTCAAATTTTCACATAATCTTCCCCCCACAAGTATTATCCAATTTTGAAAGAAGGTCCTGGCATCTTTCATTCATAGGCTTTAGTTAACCTGCATTTCTTAATGAAAGCCAGTTCTCCAGTCCAGTGAACTGCCTGGGTATGAGGGAGTATAAAGTTTCTGTATACCAAATGGTGGCTAACACAGATTTGTTTTTCTGTGAATTGAATGATATTGCAGTATCTTTTGGGGCTAGAATGTACAGATTACCCTTTAAAATTATTGATATTTTCGTACAGAATTACTGAGTAGCTATTAGGTTCATATCAGCACATTATTAGTGATTACACTCTGTTAAAGCCACCGTTAGTAATTTCCTTTTCCCAGTGTATGTGTTTGCTAGGATAATTAGTGGCTCATTCATTTTATATTCTGGTATCATGTTTGTTATTTAAATGTTTATAAGAAATTATACCTCCCACAGTTATAACTTTTCTTATTTTGTATTTGAAGCTATTACTGTGTGTATTAATCCTTTCTCCATCCTTCCTTAGGTCTGTCACTTCAGCTCACTACCTAAATGGTTGCAAGATAATGACTTTTTGCATCGTGGTCACAGGCCACCTCTTCCATCTTTTACTGCTTGTTTCCGATCCATCTTCAGGATTCATACTGAAACTGGAAATATTTGGACTCATCTTTTGGGTAATAATATTTTTTCTTAACTGCAGTTTGTTCAAATTATAATTGAAGTTAATTTTGCCTTCTTTGTAGTAGAGTTAATTATATTTACATCACGAAGTAAATAAAATACACTGCTGTCTAAAAGTTAAGTAACAACAAACAAACAAAAAAATTTGCTTACAAAGCCCAGAAACTAGCCCATAAAATTTTTTTCATACAAGCACTTTTTAAAAAGGAAATTTATATAAAAAAGTGTTTTGTGCAAAGCCTGTGTCTCTACGTTTATGGAGCTCAGAGGAAAAATCTAAATAGCCTAATTTTGAACAATGAATAAACAACATTATGGTAATGGAATGTAACAGCGCATTTCAAAAGTGGATTGTTGTTGGACCTCACCATTTGGAAATAGCCTAAGCCTTAAATGGCAATAAAATCCATCACTTGCTGTTTGTGTGATTAACATCAGAGTAAAGCAACCGTGTCGATAAGACTGTTAAGTGAACATCCAAGAATCACAGCTGTTCATTAGGACAATTTTATGCCTGCAAGCATGATGCCACTGGTCAATTACTGCAGATCAGAGTAAGAAGAGCTGTAGTTCTGCAAACTATTTATGATTGAAGAAATTCATATATGTAAATCAAGCAGTAATATTAATCTCATGCTTTATGTTTTTAGTGAGTTACAAGCTCTATACCGTGTGGGGCAGAAAGGACGAACGTTTTTTAAATGACTAGAACTCACCACCAGGTGGATTGACAGCTATGTGATAGTTGGCATTAGAATTGTGAAATCTTAGCATTCTCTTTACTTTTCAGTTTAAACTAGGGAGCTTTGAATGCAGAACATTTTTGCGTACGACTATTTTAGTGGAGAGGCGGGCTGGCTGCATGGGTGTTCGTGGTTTTCCCCATGTGTAACGTGTATACGAGCCAGTTTCCCTTAGAAAGTCCTCCACGAAGGCATCCCTCCCCTTAGGCAGATAGCCCTAGTGTGCTTTGCCATAATCAAATACACCACACCACACCATTTTAGTGGAGAATAATGAGTCTATCATGGCAATTCAGTGTGAGTCAATATCCACAGAAATCAAGCTGTTCCTGTTCATAACACTATGTTACGTTGGGTCAAAGTTCTTCATACATAAGGTACACTGTTGAACAAAAGATTAACAGAGGCTACATAAATGGCATGTACCCTTGAAATTGTGAAAAAAAAAGTCAGAAAAGCCCTGTTCCACAGTCCAAGTCGATCTGCTTGGAAGCATTCTTCTGAACTTGGCCTAAGTAATCATTTGGTAAGGGGTACTTTACTCAAGACTTTGTAATTCCATCCCTATAAACTGGCAGTAGTGCAGCTGTTGAAGCATGGGGATTATTTGTGGTGTCTTAACTTTGCACATGAGATGGAAGTAATTTTTGAGTAAAATGACAACCTCATTTTGCTTATGAGCAGTGAAGTTCACTTTTGTCTCAGTGGTCTGATGAAGCAACATACCTGCCAATATTGGACTTTTGAAATAACTACACAAAAGATGCTGCACAGCCATTAAAGTGACACTTTGGAGTGCCATGGATAAAACTGCCATCATCGTTCTTTACTTTTTTGAAGATAATAATGGGAGTGCTTTTACTAAGAAGTTCAGAGTGCTATTTTGAAATGGTAAACAACTGCTTTTATCTGAATTGTGACAAAAACATGCTCCCACTCAATGTGTGTGGTTTGAACTGTATGGGGTGCCGTCCCACACAGATATAGCTTTTTTTTTTAATGGACATTATTCACCTTCTCTTCCCTAGTCGCCTCATTTCAAGATTTGGTAAGATTCATTGGCCATCTCAGTCCCCTTATTTATCTATGTCCGATTATTTCATGTGGGTCACATCAAGGCATACGGAACTTTGGAAGAATTGAATGAAACTATTTGTGTGAAAGTTGCCCAAATTAACAAAGCAATGTTAGAAATAGTGGAGGCCATCTTCTAAGAATATCTTCAGAAATGCATCAGTGATAAAGGCACCACATGGGAGATGCTTTCCACACTTGATTTTGTCAAATGCTATTTCAATACAAACTCAAATCTGTCAATAAATTTCTTTTACAGGAAAAAATTAACACTTTTTTGTTTGTCCATCATTTGTATCCTCATTTTGTATCTGTTCAACATGGGAAATGCTGCAAATTTATGACTACTAGGTAAAAGAAAAAGAGATAACAAAAGGAAAGAGAAAAACTTTTTAAAGAGAGAACTTGTAAACTTATAAATAGAAAAAGATAAAAATGTGTTCTTGTATATGTCAGTGTTCAAAAAATAAAGTTAGAGTTAAAAAAATACTGTTTGTACTTTCTTTGAGAAATGGTATTAAGACAATGTAACCTGATGCTAGTGAAGACTTTAAAGAAGACACATTTGACTGCACCACCAAACCATTATAGTTGTTAGTGATTCTGACTATTGTACCAAAGGGGCCAGGTTTCAATCCCGGAGAAGGCATGGATGTTTGTAAATGTATAGTTTCTGCACAGCATGAGGGCACTCAAATATGCAGTGAGCGGAAAGTCCTCTAGAGAGGGTGGTGGTAGGGGAAGAATGGCGTGAGGCCCTCAAACCCACCAGGGTACTGTCCTTCAAAATTGGGGGTAGAACAGAGCCAAGTCATACTGTCATTTGTATGGTGTCCAAGGTGCAATCTTGACATGATGAATTTCATGAGCTTGCTCTGATTTCAGACAAGCAAGATTAGTCACAAAAACAACATCTGACTGGAGTGGTAGGCAAGTAGCAATTGAAACTGGGGATCAAATAGCTATCTTTTAAATCCTCAAAACTATACAACCATAAAGTGATCTGGGAGATTAGAATTAATGACTGCTATGAGTACTAGAGTAATCTTTTTTTAAAGTTCGGGCAAAATAATAGTCTTGCCAAAGAAATTTTTCATGAAGTTTCATTCAAATGGCATGTTCAAACAGTTCTATGTTGACTTAGAGAAATCCAAGGCTTGTTCGGTATAAAGTGGCCAAGAAGCTTTCTTTTCCCAAAAAGCAAACGCAATCTAATTTTATGTTTGCAAAGAAGCATAGAATTGTTAAGACAAAAATGCAGAAATATTTTTTTTCTGATGGGAAAAATATTACACATAGGATAAAATAAAGTGATGATGTGCATTTCGTATAACTGCTAAAGTGCTGCAGTTCCATATTTAGGTTTACTGTACGAGTTTTGTCCCAAATTTTTTAGATTATATTTGGTTGTAGAAGATGATTTCCATAGAACTGAAGATGCAAACTATGTTTGAAAATTTATTTTTCAGTTTATTCTTCAAAACTCTAATGAGAGCTTTCTTAAACTTAGAAGGATATTATAAATAATATATTCCTCCCCCCCCCCCAGTTTCACAATTGAAACTCTTGAAACTTAGCATGAGACAGTAAAATTGTTTGCATAAAATGTCAAGATGAGAATTTACTCAGATGAAAGTAAGTTTGTTGAAACAAGGAATATTATATTCTGAATTTGAGAAAGATACAGATAAGAAAAAATTAAAAAAAAAATAATAATAAGATAGAAAAGTAAATAATAAAATAAATAGTAGAAAAAGAAAGGAATAAGATAAGAAAAAATTAATATAAAGTATATTTAATATAAATTTCTGGAAATTCAAACTTCGTTTTTCTGTACATTTTATGTGTTTCTGTTATTTGTAGTTAGTAATGTATTCTGATCATATGAATTTGAGTAGTAGTAGCAATGCAAATTACTTTTTTGATAAAATATTGAATGAAAATGAGAGTTTCATAAAGTTGATTATTTTTCATATAATATTTTTAAAACTTTCTAACATGTTATTGAATATGCTATTTTATAATGTTTTTCTGTTCTACTTTACTACATAAATTGGAAATTTTGGCGTAATTTTATAGGAAGTTTCTGTGTATGCTGTGATTTATTTAATCAAGATTGCTATTATTGATTGAGGAATCTTACTAAAATGTTTGTTATGATCCAAATTATTAACAGTTTTGTTGTTGTTAATAATTATAAGTATCGGAAATTAGTCATTAATAATATTAAATCCTTAAAACTATTAAAAAAAATAGTATATGAATATCAAATTATGATTTTTATATAAGAAATTTTCCTAATATAATAATTTAAAATTATTTTAAAGTGTAAATTATTCATAATTATGTACTATCTTATAAAATTTATAGTATTATAAATTTAAAATTTTTTAAATGTTGTGTGTTTATACTAAATTGTTTTGATTTTATTAAAAGTTATTACGCTAGAATTAACAAAAAGAAATGACAAAAAAGATTAGACTAAACACTCATTATATCCAACAAATCAGATCTAAAAAATTTCAATCATGCTAATTATTATCAAAATCAACTGTAATAAAATGTTGCAGAACAAGGCATTCATTCTGGAAGAATAAACAAATGCACAAAACGTAGAATTTAAAAGACAGATGTGAAATGTATTTAAAAAAATTCAGAAGGTAGGTAAGTATTAGATATGCACTAGCTCATCTGTAATCTAAGACTTTTTTTAAAAAAAGGGGGGAAAAATTCAGAAATTGGATATAAAATCTTGGCAGCTTAGAATTAAGAGTATGAGAAGATGAAAATGTAATATCATATTCGGTCAGAAAAGATATAATAAAAAAATTCCAGCAAGCGAGGGGGTACATTTTCAGTGTGTCTAATTCCACATATTTTTGCTTCTTGAATTATAAAGATATTTTTATTGTAATAGGTTAAGTTTAGGGATTTTATATAACAATTTTTTTAAACAGCATTAAATTTTTGAGAATTATTAAAATATAAAATTATTTTTTGTGTTGGGAAGTCTCTTTATAAAAAGTTTCATATTTATTTATTTTTTAGGTTGTATATCATTTATTGGAATTGCTTTTTATTTCCTCACTCGTCCATCAAACCAGATTCAATGGCAAGAAAAAGTAGTATTTGCAACATTTTTCGCTGGTGCCATAGCATGTTTGGGCATGTCCTTCACTTTCCATACAGTTCATTGTCATTCTGAGAAAATAGGGAAGTTGTTCAGCAAGTATGTATTTTCGTATTTGAATTTAATTTCTTCCACTATCTTGTTATTCTGTATTGTGGGTCTAATATATTCTGTATAAATTACATTTTAGGTTCTTTAATGGTAGTTTTCCTTAACATGTCATCTTATTTTACTATATCTATCAAATGTTTCCTCTCATTGGCAGAAGTATACTGTAAGCTTTTTATGCTGCACTTTTCATTTTCCATTAGTATTGCCATTACTTCATCTGTACTAAAATTATTTTACAGTTCAGGAACAAAATAGAGATAATAAGGTATTGGAAGTTAAGATTAATTTGAATTTTTTATTTAACAGGCATATTTTAAACTGTCGATAGTTGTACAAAAATATGTCAATATAATTATTCATTTTAAAATTGTATTTTTGGAAGAAGAAAAAGTTCCCTGATCAATTGGTGATTAGTACTTCTGGTTTCTGTATCGTGGGGCTCCATTACAAATCTCAGAGAAAATATGGTTATTTTTCAGTGTATAGTGTCTATGTGGCATGGGGTCTTCAAAATGCATGGTGAGCTAAAAGTCATGTTGCTTAGTCATAGGCAATCCTCAGGGCTATCATCCAGGGGTATTGTTGATGATGAGATGGCTGAATGACCAATGAGTGTTGGCCGTACCAAAAAATGCATTTCATTGCAAGCATCCATTCATACTACATTATTGGAAGATTTTTAACCAATATAATTTCTTGAGTGAAAAAATTTTGGTACAAATTATGAAACCATCTAAATTATGGCTACACGATTTTTTATTAGTTACAGGACAACCTGGGGATAAAATAAAAGTAATATTTCAGAATCAATACTAATACTTTTCTTTTCCTATAAATTCTTCAATGAAAACAGCTTTTCTCATTACTGCATAATTTTATACATTTGGAAAAATTATGCTGTGCAAAGTCCGAAATCTGGACATGCAATATTCGGAATGATCTAATATCCTGACTTATGGACCACGAGAATTTTTTAAAAAATATTTTCTCCTAAATGGAGTGGAAAATATGTTGCTCAAAATTATGGTGTGCCATAAGTCATTTTTGTTCCCGCCCACCAGCGGCCGAGCGGTAAAGTCGCTGAACACTGGTAGTTCAGTCCGAGGTTCGAATCCCACAAACGGGCTGGCTGCATAGGTGTTTTCGTGGTTTTCCCCATGTGTAACGTGTATATGAGCCATTTTCCCTTAGAAAGTCCTCCACGAAGGCATCCCTCCCCTTAGGCAGATAGCCCTAGTGTGCTTTGCCATAATTAAATACACACACACACATTTTTGTTCCCATTAATATTTTTGGGTGCCACTTTTAAAACCCTTTGTTGCTTACAAATAATCTAGAGAAGTTAAACGAAATTGTTTGTATTTTTTCTACTTAAAATAACCTTAGTATTAATAAAAAAAATAATTTTATTCAAATTTCGTTTTAAATAATTGCTACAGTTTGTTCACTACAGTGGACAGCATGCATATACGTACATGCATAAAAATCTCTTCCCAGTGATTTACGGTCACTTGCATTTGAAATCATTTCCTGCCTTGTTCTTTGCAGTGACCATTAACCATCTTCTAAATAATAAATCTACAACTGACATGTACATACAGATCCCCTAAATTACCTTCATTTCGTCGATCGTGATCGCAATTCATTTTGCTACGATTTTTGTACCCTGTACCTATTGGATTCAAATGTCAAATGTTCTAGAAATTTCTTGCCAAACATAAACATTTCCAGTGGTGTTTTGGCTTGATAAGCAGTAACATTTGGGTTTCAATTCACTCTTTTCGGTAGATCTTCATCTACCGACTCCACAATTTTCTCAAACTGACATTTAAAATGAAATGTCTAAAATTACTAATTATGAATAAAAAATGGCAGTATAAGAAAATGTGAGCAATATTATATAATGTTTACTATGAGAAATTGTACTAACTTGGAAACTGAAGTAGCAGCCTTTTTCCAAATAGCAATGCTTTACTTAGTGATTCTATACAGCCATTCTATGATCTACAGTTGAAAGTTCTAATAATATAGAATGAACAAACACAGGAATAGAATCTGTTAAGACATTAACAGAAGAATAAACAAATTTAAACTTTTGTCTACTAGAGTGGACATGATGCAACAAAGGGTTAAACACTTGCTGGCTAGGGAATTGTACCCTGGCTAATGACAGCACATTGATTGGCATTGGCTGTAATCACACTTTCAACTGTTGAGTGTTTTTGAAATGTTGCAAGGAAAATAATTTTTAAATTAATTGAAATTTTGAAGAAATATGGAGATGTTATAATAAATAAAAATATTACAGATGTCTTCCATTGATATGACAATGCCCCAATCATTAATATGGTGAAATCCATGGCCTGAAATTTTTTATTATAAGAATTCTAAATTTCCATTTAAATCCCCAAATATCGCTACTGATAAGGAAGGAGGGGACAGATTTGTTGTGGATGAAAAGATTTAAATTGACAGTTTAGTAGTTTCTGGTATGGCAATTACAGGACTTGAACAATGGAACTTTATCACTGAGTTAGAAATTGCATGTCTATAAAATAAAAGAGAAAGTATCAGCACAAAAAAATGAAACAGCTTACATTGAAAGAAATATTGAATAAAACAGACAGGCCTTTTAAATTTTGATTTGTTTAAGGTTATAAATGCTTCACTATTTCACGTCTTTAATTTTATAATTTCTCCATGTTATCTTACTAGATTTAAACTGATGATCTAAAATTCAGAGTTGTCAAAGCCCTGTCCATGTCGGATATCAGTCTGTAGTATTATTCTTTTCCTGTGGTAGAAATTTTTTAATTGAAAAGTTTGTATAAAATTTCAGATTTCATAAGTTGGAAAATGATTGGGCCATAATTACATGGTGTAGCTATCAGTTTAATATAAATATTTTTGTAGTAAAGCTGAAGAAAGTCTAATACGAGGGGTATTCGGAAACTAAGTACCGTTTTGAAAGAAAAAAAATAGTAAAACAATTTTTTCGAATCCAATTTTATTTTTACATGAAAATACATGCCTTAAACTATTTTTCAACATAGTTTCCACCAATGATCAAGCACTTGTCATAGCGGGTGACCAGTTTTTGTATACCATCATCAAAGAAACTTCCTGCCAGTTTCGATAACCACGACTCCACAGCATTTTTCATGTCATCGTCAGATCCAAAGCGCTTGCCACCAAGCTCGCGCTTCATGTGCAGGAACAAGTGATAGTCAGACTGCACCAAGTCCGGGCTGTACGGCAGGTGATCGAACTCCCAATGAAACTGGCGAATTAACGATTGAGTAACACCATCAGTATGGGGCCGAGCATTGTCATGGAGCAACACAATTCCTTTACTGAGCATTCCTCTATGTTTGTTTTGAATGGCATGCCTTAGTTATGTTAAAGTCTCACAATATTGTGCCACATTAATGGTTTCACCTCTGGGAATAAATTCAGTAAGCAAAACTCCTTTCCTATCCCAGAAGACAGTGCACATGATTTTTTGTGATGACATTGTCACTTTGAACTTTTGTTTTTTTGGAGAATGAGTGTGTCTCCACTCCATCGATTGTTGTTTCGATTCTGGTGTGAAATGACACACCGAAGTTTCATCACCTGTCACAATTTGGTTTAAAATGTTTTCTCTCTCATCACTATACCGCATGAGAAATGTCAGGGCACTACCAAGTCGCTTTGTTTTGTGAACATCAGTGAGCATTTTTGGAACCCATTGGGAACATAGTTTGCGATAATTCAAGTGGTCAGACACAATTTCGAACAAAACAGTACGTGGAATTTGTGGAAATGCCTCTGAAAGAGTTGTCATTGTGAAGCGTCTGTTCTCATGAATTGCTTCATCAACTTTCCTTACCAAATCATCAGTGACAACAGAAGGCCGACCACTCCGAGCCTCGGCGTGGACATTTCTTCGACCTGCATTAAACATTCTTACCCACTTTCTCACCATTCCATCACTTATCGCGTATTCACCGTAAACTTCTGTCACTTGACGATAAATTTCGGCCAGTTTAACATTCCTCGTGTTAAAAAATTTAATCACGGCACGAATCTCACAATCAGCGGGAGAACTAATTGTCTTAAACATTTTGAATGTACACAGCAAACTGAAAACACAACATAGAGCAACCAAAATGGTGGCAATTGAAAGTCAGTGAACAAGAAAGACCAGTGCGCATGTGCGGGACGCCTACCACAGCGCTGCGACATCACTAGAACGAAACGGTACTTAGTTTCCGAATACGCTACGTACTTAATGAGCCTGTAGCTGTGAATGAAGACCCTTTTATTGTGAGCAGATTTGGATTTGGGGGCAGATTTCATATTTTTTTAGGTTTAAGTTTAAAAATTCAACAGTTCATCTCACATGATCATCACTCCACATCACATCACTGATTATTTTGTAATTATATGTAATTTGCGTATTTCAGGAATGTAACTGAATTTAATGATTATTTCAATTTTCACAAGATACAAAATGATCTTGTAAAAATTTGTATCTTTTGAAGTTTGTGAAAATGTTTGTCTTGCTGCTTCAACTCAGAAAGAGAGAATAATCAAGATAATTGTTTGAAATCTGAAATTTATATTTATTCTGTAAAAAAATATAATTACTAGATATTAATTAGCATCTGTATAAATCTTCTTTGTAGGCAATTATGAATTTTACCTTCTTAATTATTTATTTATACATTATAATTTTATACAAATAATATACATACATATTGAGAACTTGTTTACTTATCATGAATAATTAAAATAGAGATTAAAACTTAAAAAACTGAAACTGTTAAATTCTCTTTAGAATATTCACAGATTACAAATTCAGAATTACATTTTCTATCACTTCTGCCCTTTGGATAATTTTGGGTGGGAATGAAGTCCATTATCTGTTTAAATAAAATACTTGCCAATATTTTTCCAAATTTATTTTATTTCATCAGAATTTTACAATTTCTATGAAAATCGGATAAATTAATAGTTAATCCAGACTGCGAATCTAAAAATCTGCTTGTTGGGGTAAAAACTGGCCTGATGGCAAGAATGATCAAGATTGTAATTTGAAAAGTTTCACATAATTAGGGTAATTTTTAATGCTGAAGAGTTGGAAAATAATATGAAACTGATGTATAATTTAGTTTAAAAAAGAATATGGTAAATTTGGTGCATAATTATATCCTTGTTAGCTCTTCCAATAGCTCAGAAATGATTTGGTTTATTACTTACTGGCAATTCGAAGGTATCTGTGTTGTCTTGAATTGGACTTAAATTCATTCATATACTTTTGGCGAAATCCTTGGATGATATTTTTTCATAGATCTTCCCAGACTTCCACTTTTGTTTTAAGGTTTTTGACATAATGAATTTGGCAGTTAAAGAAGTACACTGAGATATCTTTTTTTTAGCTATAAAATAGTGGACTTGAAGTGCTTTAAGAGTTTAATCTTACTGGTAAAAGACATTAATTTCTCATATATCATCTTGTGAACAATTTTATTACATTCCTCCATGTTTTGAATGAGTTCAGAGTTTTTTCATGTTTCGGTGTAGACAGATGAAATGAGTTCTTTCAGTATATTGGACCAATTTATTTTCTGCATTAAGTTTTTGCTCTGGATTTATGTTTGTATCCACTTTAAATTGTGTTAATATAGAAACTCTTGTTATGCAGATGTTTTTGTGTTTTATTAACCCTGTAAATGCTTTGCGAAAGATGTACATGCTCTGGTGTGGTTCTTTCTGTTTTTATATTTACATTGTTTGATTTAATTATGCTTTATTTTCAATACTCTTTCTCTGGAAGTCATTTTGCTGTCTCTTTAGACATCCTATAAAAGCATTTTAATTTTATTTGTGGCATATATTATCTATGATGTGAAGTATGTAACAAAAATTAATTTTTGTTTATTATCTATGATGTGAAGTATGTAACAAAAATTAATTTTTGCAGTCTTTATATTTTATTTTTAAATTAATTCAAAGCATTTTAATTAGTAAATGCATTTATGTATGTTATGAAAATATATTTAAATTTATGCGTTAAGAGTGTGAAGTAAAATCTTCCAGTGTTATAATTACTAACATATATATATATATTTGCAAATTATGCCCACAGAAGGCATGTTTGGGCAGAGAATACATTCCTCTCCTCTTTCTTTTAAGAGTGTTGTAAGCAAGTATTCACCTGTAGCAAAATTTTTGACCATTAAAATTGACATAGCTGATAGTTATCATACATGCTACCATTTATGAATACCTTTTGGCATATCTGTTGCAGGATTAAATGAAAAACTGATTTTTAAATAAGCCTTTTTCTACAAAGGGATATACTATATAAGAAACTAATATTGACTTTAAGTTTGGAAAATGATGAGACTAATTTAAATGTTATGTCATTTTTCCAATATTTTGCGATTGTGCTTTTAACAGCTTGCATATTTAAAGGATTTTCCAGAACTCTTAACCTTCAAAATGGCTGAAAATGTTAATTCAGAAATTAAAGCAAATATGACTCATATGTTTAATAATTTTATAAATGCCTTGTTTGCAGGTGTTTTTTCCCCTGTAACATATTTAGTACACATTGTAAAAGTGCTGTGAGTTGGAACTCATGTATTTTTTCATGTCCGTGTGTGATTCCTTTGTTTGTTCATTTGCTACATTATGCGTTTAAAATGTGTTCACGTTCTCTCACATTTTGCAAGTGTACAAAATGAAGACTATAAAGAGTTGTGAATCATTTGAGGAATAATTTTAAGTAATAGAAAGTAATGAAATAGAATTAATATCTAGCTTTGTTTCAGTTTATCCTTTAGATCTGTTTCACATTAATATGATTTTTAGCTAGATTGTCTCTCCTCTTTGGTTTAGATCAATATTACCATTTAAAGTTATGCTAGTTGGTACTGGTGTGGTTGGTGCTGGTTTCTTTTTATGCATGTACACTGTGATCAAAAGTATCCAGATGCTTCTTGAATAGAATTGTAGTGTATACTCGTGCCTGTATGGCAAGAATTAAATATTCAATGTGACATCCTTTGGCTTTGATGATAATAACTAGTCTTTTAAGGAGGCTACCCTCTAAAATTTTGTACGTTTTTCTTGGAACGTTTCATTTTTGCAGAATAGCAGTAACTTTTTCTATCTGCAATTTTGGATGATGTCACCTGCTTTACAATTGGCATTCCAGTTTATCTGATAGATGATCTATGCTATTTAAGATCACTGCTGTTAGCTGAGGAGTTCTTTGGCATCTGTATCAAAAATTCATGTATTAAACAGCATGTGGATTTGAGCCTGGTAATGCAGAAACATGGGAAGACCCTCCCAACAACAGTATGGGTATTGCTGAATTGTCTGAAATATGAAGATAGGCATCTGTGTTCCTCACAGGAACTGAAAGATCAAGGCCAAACAGCAGAAAACGAGATCATGTCATAATGTTTCTTCCATAAAACTTCAATACTTTTGTAAATGTCATTCACCTGGTATATTCTATCCCCAGACATGGTCATTAGACTTCCAAACAAACTTGTTTGGGGATTTATCACTTAATTTATCATCCTGCACCTGTTAAAACTCTGATTTTATAGCTTTCTATTACTTGTCATTGAGCTGACATTGTTCAAGAAGTGTAAAATATTTCATAAAAGTCTTCATCTGATTCTATATGGTTTTATTTCATTATTCTGTGAAGTAAACTTCTTGTCTGTCAAATTGCATGACCAACCTGATGTTGGTTGAAGAGATAGAACATCTGAAACATTCCACTATTATACACAGTTGTGAATGTACTCCCTTTTAACATTGCTGAAATTTCATGAACAGATTTTCTTCAATAGAAGCAGTCAGTTACTTCTATTTTAAACTTGATCTGATATTCCACATTTAAATTTTATGTCTCTGAATGTGACTACTTTTTTTAATACATATTTCAACATATACTTTTATGCTATAGAGCAAATAACTCGCTTCTAGAGGTGTCCAGATACTTCTGACCATCTAATGTATGTAACGGCACTCATTTGCCATCTAAATGTTTAATGGTATTTTATGTTAAATTATGTAAATGTAAGTTTTTAAAATTTTTCCTCTCAAATATTTTATAAGAATGTAAATAAATGCGATAAGTGGAGTTTTCTGCTTTTTTGCTTTTCCCCCCCTTCTTTTTTTACATTACAATGTATGTAATGGCACTCAGTTGCTATCTGAATGCTTATTGGTATTTTATATTAAATTATTGAAATGTAAGTTTTAAAATTTTTTTTTCTCAAATATTTTATAAGAATGTAAATAATTCCGATAAATGGAGTTTTATCTTTTTTTTTTTTTTTTTTTTTTTTTTTTTGTACAAGTAAACACCTTTGCTTTCAATGTTGACTAAAATTGTTATGCTTTTAAAAATTCCATTACCAGCAATTTTTATTCCTTATTCGTAAATTTTGTTTTATCAGAAAAATTAAGAACTAATACTGTATCTGATTTCATGTTAGATTTATTTTTGTCTTTTTACTATAGGTTAGACTATTGTGGAATTGCTTTTTTAATCATTGGGTCTTTTGTGCCATGGCTATATTATGGATTTTATTGCAATTTTCAACCAAAATTAATATACTTGGTACTTGTAGTAGTCTTGGGAACTGCTGCCATAATAGTTTCTTTATGGGATAAATTTAGTGAGCCTCGATTTCGCTCAGTAAGAGCAGGTATGTGTATAGTTTTTATTAAAGTCATTTAATGTTATATTTGATTAAATTGATTAAAATTCAAGCCATTTCGTTTGGTTTGCTCATTTTTGGGTGAATTTTAATGCCTGAAGGTTAAAAGTTAGTATTTTGTGATCATTCTAATTATATATTCAATATTAAACTTTCTATAGTAATAAATAATAGTTTAGTTTTTAGTTTAAAGAAATTTGCATGTTTATATATTACATAATTACAGTTTGAAATATAGGCATTTACATATTAATTGTTACTGATGATTTCTGTTCATGGTAGTTTGCTAAAGATTTTTCCTCATAACCGCATTCATGTAAAAGAATACCTGTCCTTTGTTTATCATATGATCAGTCCTTAATGCCTCATATGATTTAGTCTGTATGTGTGAGCTTTCTTAAATCTTTCTTCTTGTTAGTTTCTTAATTCTGTCTTAATTCTTTCTTAATTTATTCTTACGTAATCATTCTCTGAGATTTGTCGACAGTAAAATGGAAGCTGTTTTCCTTCCTATTTTTAAGGTTTGTTATTAAATCGTTGCAAATGCACTAATTCTCAGACAATTAGATTAAATTAGAAACATATGTATGAGATTAATAATTTCTGACAAACTAACTTTTTGATGGAAACTGGTTCACATTCACTTAAGTGACTGAGATAACTATCTGAGATAACTATCTGCAAATATACAGTATCAAATTTGAGGGAAAATGGAAAAAAGTAAATAACCTGTGTCCATCCGTAGAGCAAATGAGAATGTATTTATTAATGGGAAATTAGCCTTACCACTGACATGTTAGTTAGACTGCCACCAAAATTAACAAGTAGGAACAACTAGTATTAATTAAATGTGAGTTTTAAAATATATATGTGTGATTAGAATAAATTAGCAAATAACTATTGAAATGTGCATAGTATGCACAGTGCAAAAAAGGTTTGCTGTGCATTATTTGTAATACAATAAATACAGGATAGTGCAATCAATATATTCTGTATTAAAAATATGTTTCTTTTACACAATTGGCCCAATCCGAATAGTAATGTCGTTGAACACTGGTAGTTCATCAGGCTTTTGAATCCCAGCCAAGGGGCTACTTGCATTGTCGTTTTCATGGTTTTCCCCATGTGTAATGTGTATACAAGCTAGTTCCCCTTAGAAAGGCCTCCACGAAGGCATCATTTCTCTTAGACAGATAGTTCTCATGTGCTTTGCAATAATTAAATAAACCAGACGAAACCAAAACAATTCTTTTGCATAATACCACTGTCTATGTTTTAAAAAATATTCAGAACAATTTTTAGAAACATACTATTAGTTTAGAAAACCAAATTATTACTAAACTGTTTTTAGTTTATACTGATGCATGAGTTGTTAAAATGTACATAATTAAGAACTCTGATAAATTTTATATCAATTGTGCTTTAATTTTTAGATCTGGAACTTTCACTCAGGTGGCCTTAGTTTAAAGAAATATTAAATTTTGATCCATGCTTTTTAAACAGGAATTAAAGAATGTCTATAGCTGTTTGAATGTACCATAATTTTACTATTAGCACATATGCCGAACTCTTAATTATGTACGTGAAATATTAGGATCTATTTTAATAAAGTTTGCTGTTCAGTTCATTAAAGCTGAATTTGTGTAACTTCTAATTGATATAAAATTAAGCAAAGCAATAACCTTGTGTTTGCCATAGATTTTAGTCAAGACTCTTATCAGTTGCTAGCACGAACAGGTACGAGTCCCTCATCATCAGGGGGTAAAGAAATCTACAATGAAGGGAAAGCCATGATTGTATTTATATCCAAAAGGAGTAAAGTAAATGAGAAGGTAGTGCCATCTGTCAGGAGAAATGTTAATGAAAAATTAAGTTGTTAATAGAATTTTAAAAGTGTTAGGAAGGACTGGATTGAAATTAAAGTCTTTAACTGAACAAGGTAAATATTTGTGAATGTGAAAAGCTTCAAGAAAAATGTGGAATGGAAAAAGCTCTTTGGATAATTTTTGCAAACCCAAATCAAGCCAAAATTGTAATTAAATTTCCAACTATGATAAGCTATTGAAGACTTGTTAATTTCTCCATTTTCGACATAGGTTCTAATTGAAGATTTGCAACATAACTAACTGAATTATTACTTTTAATAGAACTTGAAAGCATAATTTAAAAGGGGGGAGAAAAGGAAAAGCTTTCAAACATATTTCTATTTACACGTAAGTAAAAAGTCTTCCTAAATAAGTATAAATGCATTTTTAAATTTTATTTACAGCTTTGCTTTAAATGTGCTTCAGTAGATTATTATCTTTAGCACATACATCTTCCTTAGTGCGTACATGTATCCTTATAGATAGAAATATGTAAAGATATTGGAGAAATATGATAAATGAAAAGTTAAGTTGCATTGAAAAGCATATTTTTAATAAACAAACATGCTACTAGAAATTGACTGCAACATTTTGTGTTTATTCCATCCAATCATTTTTCAAGAACATTATTAAAGACATTATTTTCAACTAGCATGTAATACAAAAAGATGATAATGCCATCTGAAAAAGAGAAAAATTTTAGCTTATGTCATACTAATAAGATTTTGTTTTATGTTCCTAATTGTATTCATTATGAAATTGACATGCGTGTAGTTAATGAACATTAAAAAAAACTTACAGATATACATAGATATTGTTTTTCCTTATTCCCTATCTCTGAAATATGTGATATTAATACAATAAATAATGAGATGTTTGGACCTGGTATATAAGTATTCATTGATTTTGCCACACAGTGGTAAATGGAATCAATCGTACAGGTCAAATGAGATGAGCATTCTTATTAAATTATTGTATTCAAAGTAGTTGAATAAAATGTTATTAGATTGCCAAAATATCCTTAGAGTAATTAAAAGACAGTTGTTGAAAGCAGTTAAAAATGCAGATTAGCAACAGTGACATCAAAATTATGCGTCGATGAGAAAATAACATAAAATGGATGTTCTATCAGAATTGTATTCTTGTACCATTTGTTGAGAACTAGTTTGTGGCATCTATTTGATGTTAACTTGCCAAACTACCTAGAAAATACCATGCATTGAGCCATTGGAAGGTTGGAAGCAAGCAGATCATTGCATCTGTAAAGTTGGTTCCAGGAGAAAGGAAATTTTAAAAGGCATCAAGGTCATTCTGCAGCTAATATCTCACATAATGTTTGTTAGAATAAGAGTGTTAGCAATTTTCAGATACGTTCATTATTCTAGATTGTATTCACAAAGTCTAGTTTGAATATCTCATTGGTTTTCCATCATCATAGGGACTAGAAGAAACTCAGCTAAAGAATGCTATGATTCAGAACTTGCTGACTAGAGCCCAGATTCTGTTTAGAGGTGTATATTTGACTTCTGATCTGGAGAGAGTATGACACTTGATATAACTCAGCAAGTCTTCAGGAACAGTAGTGTTTTGCTCAGTGGTTCTCAATCGTTTTTCCCCATGCATCCCTTTCATTATTCCTACGTGATCATTTCCCCCTCCTGTCCCAAACTCAAAAATTATGTATACAGTTAATTAAATTTAGATTATTTTTTAATGCATTGTATAAACTAAACAAGAAAAAGTATAGAAAATGTTAAACATCAAAACTTGAATAAAAGTAGTTTTGTAAAATTCGTAATTTAAAACTAAATACATAACTGATGAAAAAAAGGGTGATTGCATTCCCCCTGAATGAGCTATGAAAGTCATCCCCAAAAGAAATACCTTCCTGAGTGAGAATCTCTAGTTTCACTGGAGTCAGATGCTTTTTTGTGCAAAGATAAGCTTAGGTGAGTGAGCAGTCAAGTCACTGAACACTGGTAGTTCAGTCCGAGGTTCGAATCCCATGAACAGGCTGGCTGCATGGGCCATTTTCATGGATTTCCCCAAGTGTATACGAGGTTTCCCTTAGAAAGTCCACCCCTAAGGCAGATAGCCCTCGAGGCTTTTCCGTAATTAAATAAACCAAACCCAAAAAACCAGCTTAGGTGGGCATACTGATCCATACAGTATTCCAGATCGGTCTTTGACTGCTCAGAGTTTTAGGCACAGAGTTCTTAAACCCTTAGTTGTGCCTTATATTCCTGCCATTTTTATGGATGATAATGCCTGATCTCATCAAAAATGCCATATGACTTAGATGCTTGGCGAGTAAATAGAGCTTATAGAGTGGTCAACATGTTACCTGTAATTGAGTCAAATAAAACATGTTTGGAATACATTAATCAGACACACTGCATCTGGATCTTAAACTCAATTGACTCACCTTCAGTTAGTAAGTGCCTTTCTTGAAGAGTAGGGAAGAATGCCCCAGAACTGAGGTACCTACCTCATCAGTTGAATGCTTTGCAGGTGCAGTGTTCATGCATACTCGTATTTGCAATGCACTTTATTACACAATTAATAAAGCAGCTTTTACAGTCATTAATTTCTGGTAACTTCAGTATGTAATGTGCACCAGTAACTTCAGTATGTAATGTGAATATGAATTATTTCCTATTAACTCTTTGAAGGGCAGGAAAAGGCAATTAACTTTTTCAGCAAAGCTCTTGTTTTATTTATTATATCAGGTGTTACAATGAAATTATTTGTGACAATTACACGCATTTTGTCCAAGACGGGTGGAAAAAAATGACCACTTCTGGTGGTTAGTGTCAGTGACCACTGCCCACAGAACACATCCCTACAAATCAATCTCTATACTACTCATGGAAACAGTTTTTCTTTCTCAAGCAGAATGCAACTTTGCATGTGCTGCATTCCCACACTGTTCACCACTGCCCACAGAACACATCCCTACAAATCAATCTCTATACTACTCATGGAAACAGTTTTTCTTTCTCAAGCAGAATGCAACTTTGCATGTGCTGCATTCCCACACTGTTCTTACAGTGTGGGAATGCAGCACATTGCAGCACAATATGAATTATTTCCTATTAACTCTTTGAAGGGCAGGAAAAGGCA